CCTTCATCTCCTTAACTTTGCTCTCTTCAACCTCTTCATCCTTTGTGGCTTTAACAACCATGCCATTTAATCCCGAGTCTGAAACTCAGAGCTCTCTCCTGAACTAACAATTGTCAGTGTGCTCCAGGCCAGAAACCAGCTGTTCCTCTCTTACCATCAAAAGCCAGCTTGCAGGACTGCTGCCAATTCCAACTTCTAAATATCACCATCTTCCCTCTCCATTCCCCTCCCCCCTTTTTGGTGGTACTGGGGCTTGAACTCAGGACTTTGCACTTTCTAGGCAGGAGCTCTACACTTGAGTCACACCTCCAGCCCCACCGCCTGAGAATATTTCTTTACCTACATTATCAAAACAACTTAATTATCTCTACCTCCAAACACACACACACACACCATCCAACTTATTCCCCCATGCCACTAAGAAGTGAATTTGTCATCTGATGTGCTTCTCGTTTATACTTCAACTCTGGCTTATAGAGGTCACTGGGCTAATAAGAAATATATTAATGTTTTTCAAACTTCAGGTCAACAGTGAGAAGCATACTTCACTACAGTGGAGCATGCACACAAATACGTAACTAGAAAAATAAACTTCACACACATACACACAAAAAAAAACCCTACAAGCCAGGCACGGTGCTCCCTCCTGTAACCCTGGCACACTCTGAAGTTGAGGCAGGAGGATCTCAAGTTCAAGGCTAGTCTGGGCTACACAGTACCCTATCTCCAAAAAGAAAAAATGGGGGGGGTTGGGGAGCAAGAGGGTGGGGGGTGGGGTGTAGTTCAAGTAGTAGAGCATATGGAACCAGGGTTCGATCCCCTGTACTGCCAAAAAAAAATTTTTTTTTTTATTCTATTGAGCCAATGTCTGATGAGCAACCAATGACTACAGTGGTAGAGCAGGAGGTGGAGAACTGCTGGGATCCTGGCAGCTGGGGTGCCACCCTGAGTGAGAAGTTCTGCTCTAACTGGTAAGACTGCACAATTGCACAAGAACAACACTGTCCTGAAATGCCCCTGCTAAGGGGTTAGTAAAGCAAGGTTTGGTATGGGTGCGGTTACTCAGCAGGTGTGGCAATGTACCTCCAAGATATGCAGCCTGCTGGAAGTCCAGCATCACCTACCAACCCATGTTCACCATCTCTTCAAAGGCCACAAATCTCCTGAAGGACAACTGACTTAGCTCAATAGGTGCTGCCATGAGCAGAGGGCTTTGTGCACATCCACACATATTCTCTTGGCAATCTGACAGGAGACATTCCTACACCCCCCAGTAAAAGCCAAGGTTCCCCATCCTGGAATGTGGAGTAAGATTTTCTTCTGTTAGAATGTGATGATCCAAGGTTCTCTCCTGATAGATGAACCTCAAAACAAAAATGGCACCTCAAGCAAAGAAGCCTCAAGCACAGTATTAAGACAGAGGTAGAGAGACATTCACTGATCAAGAACAAAGCCTGAGAGGCTGAAGGAGAAGATGAGAATTCAGATTCAAAACCCATATGCACTGGAGCCATCAAAGCCCTTCTTTCTGGACTTGACCTCAGCTATTCCATTCAACTGTTACTTCAGATATAAAATCAAAAATAATTTTCAACACTAATAACTAAGTGTAAAATACTTGCAATCAAAAAATGTTTCCTGTTTCTGTTTAAATAAAATTATAATCATCTGCTGGTGGAGTGGCTCAAGCGGTAGAACACCTGCCTAGCAAATTCGAGGCCCTGAGTTCAAACCCCAGTACCCCCCCCCAAAAAATATATATTTATTTTTAAAAGACTTAAAATAAATAAATATATAAATATATAAAATAAATAAATATATATTTATTTTTAAAAGACTGTTAAAAGACTTAATCAGAAATAAGAAGATGATAGACCTGTAAAAAAAGTTTCCATGTTTTGGTCTTAAATAGACTCATTTACTTTCTTAAGGTAATTAAACAACTCTAATTTATTGAGAAAGTTTCATTTAAACCAAAGATAGTCACACCTGATAAATTCATAGCTACTTGTCCCCAATCTACTGAGCAGATTTCAAAACAATTTATTCTAATTTAATCAATTCCAAATTCATTCAAAGTTAAGTGCACTGAAAGTAAGGATTAAGATCCTAGAAATATGTTTCTAAAAGGTAATAAACATGAATTCACCAACATGAAAAGAGTTGGGCCTCTTCAGGTACAAACTAGAAGTTGGTCAGGACAGAGCCATAGGGGGAGGCAGGAGCAAGTTAAGCTGCAGTGGGGCCCCTTTTTACAACTCCACAGATGTTGGCACCTTGAAAAGATGCCAGTCAGTGTCTATGCTTCCTCACAAAGGACTCACAATGTTCTAGCCCACATTCTAATTTTCACAAAACACAAGTAGAAATTATATTTTGGATGTGAGGGAGGGACGGGTGAAAATTCTCAAACATGCTTCTCATACTACATCTCAGAAGACCACTTGCTAATAGTTTCTACCCAAATCTTATCCCAAGTGAAGACAATTCTAGAAATGTCTCTCTACCCAGTTTCTTGAGAGTTTTTTTCTGTCACTGTCTTTCTCTCTCTCATTACCTCTAGGTTTAGACCAAAACAAATTATTTTTCAAAGCTGAATTGTGTCAGTTAAGAATGATTTTACACATCCTAAGACTCACTTACAAAAGCAGTTTTAAGAGGTTCATGGAGGAGGCTTCTGTCCCACAAGGAAGACACTGGTTGGTTTAACCCTCTCCTTTCCACAATCTACCAGGAGTGCTGGTGGATTCCAGACTAGCCCTGGCAGGCAGTGTTTCAAACCTCCATACCACTTCTCCTATGCAAAGAATGAACACTTCACTAATATCGCTTCTGCCTCCTTTATTACAAAGATGAGTATGAGTATGTCCTCCAGTCAGGAAAATTTTCAAATGTGAAGTATTTCAAATTAAACTTTTCTACAGTCAACACAAACAGGCACTTTCCCTCAAGTCAGTGAGCAGAGAAACCCTGGTTCCCACAGTAAGCATCGTTCTCTAGCACTACCCTGTTCTGCAACATCAATACCACACATGTGGAAGGATGCCAACCACACACCTGCCTACCTGCCATACATGGAAAATTCTTTAAGCAATACCCTCTCCACCCAGGAGGCTACCAGACATGTTAAGCCCTTGCAGCCAGGTTCTGTAAACAAGAGCAAGGAAAGGATAATCCTGAATCACTTCAGGGTTGATCAGCATGCAATGCTACTTCAGGAACTTTCAACAAATAGAAATCAGCTATGAAGCAACAAACAGTAACCCCCCACATTGTGTGAAGTGTATTAAGGGCCTGATCTGAGGAAACTAACGTCTTATTAAAAAAGAGAGAGAGAGGGAGAGAGAGAGAACCTACAGAAGACAGTACCAAGAGCAGACAAACTATTAAATGACCCACTCAGATCCACCCTGGAAGCTCAGAGTCCTGAGCCACTAAGTCCAAGTGTTGGGTGAGTCTGAGTATGTGTGGGGTGCTCAGACACATGCATCTTGCATTCTCTATCTCTCTTCATCAGGTCCAGCTCAGAGAGGGGCAACAATGAATGGCAGATTCCCTCTCAGAAAGCTAAGCCTTATCTGCCTGACATGTCTGTATGAAGTACAAACAGGCAATCTGGATATGGCACTAACCTACATAGCAGGTAGGGGAGGAACAACAGCTGTTTTATTTACTTAGCAAATGTACAAAGCACAGTCCCTGTTCAACCCTAACCCTAACCCTCCAGCGTCATCATCTACTCTTCTCCACTCTGGGGTCTTGCAGCAGCAACAGCAGCATCTCCCATGGTTGTTGTCTAATCTGCCACCATTCTTACACCTGTTCACCAAAAGCCTCAGTCCCAGTCATTACACTTTCTTCTTCTCAGGCTTCAGTTTGGCAAGAACCCAACAAAACTCATCTCCAGAGTGCCAGTCACCCTCTCCAATTGACAAGGATGCAGCATTTGAGTTCATCTCCTTCTCTTGACTAATACAGACCTAGTTTAACCCCATAGAAACGGCACAACCAGTTTCCTAGCCACAAAGCTCCAAGTTCATACCAGTGCCCTTTACACCTCCAAGTCGCTGACACTGAAAGTCTAACAATCACTGCCAAACCAATCATCACACAAAATAACCTTCCTAAAGATAATTATTCCTGGACTCCCATTCTGTCCCTTCCAGTCCCTTACCACCAAACCTCTCAACTACCTGGCCTTCCTATTAGACCCTCCCCTCATATTGCTGGGCCTCAACAAAGCAAGAAGCAGACTGGTAAGCACAAAGTTAGGCACAAAGTTCTGAGGCACCTTATGATTCCTTCTTGTGAATTTATTCCCACTGGATTTGCTACGATTCTCAAATACTCCATGCCTAAGTGCCCAAACTTTGTCTATTCTCACTTCTAAACCAATAGCCAAGCAGACCTCAGTCATAATAACACTGAATCCATAGGCATGCAGGCCCTCCACTTCTATAAACACAACCTTCCATAGCTTCATCCCTCACTTCCTTCCCTCTGGAGAAACCAGTATTCTTCCATCCTGTGGTTAATCCTTGCAATAATTCCACCTTTCGTATCTACTATTTGACCTCTACTAGGCTTTACTTTCTATAGCTTGTGCTACCAAACAAGTTGTGCTTTGTTTTTGCTTTTTTAAGACAGGGTTCTTGCTATGTAGCCAGGCTGGCCTTGAACTCTTGACTCTCTTACTTCAGCTTCCCCCACGTGTCACCACAACCAGAGAAGTTTGCAGGCATTTTCAAACATAAAATATCCTCACACCTGTAATCTCAGCTGCTTGGAAGACTGAGGAGGATCATGGTTTGAGACCAGCCTGGGCCAATTTGGGAGATGCAGACCCCATCTTCCAAATAAACTGCCTTCTAGCAGTCACACAGCCTCTGCCTTCTGTGACATCTGCAGCCTCCCCAGAGCTCCAGATGATCCCCAACTCCTCCTGAATATCTGGTGACACCAGCACTGGCTCCTGCCAGTGCAAGGTATACAAAATGCACCTGGTACAAGAAGAGCTGCTGCTCCTCCTGCCCTGTGGACTGTGCCAAGTGTGCCCAGGGCTGTGTCTGCAAAGAGGCATGTGACAGCTGCTGCACCTGATTGTGGGGAAAGTCCAGCTCCCACGTGTGAATACAGCGATTGTAAAAACCTGAATTTATTTTTCATAATAATTGGACCTCTTTTCAACATTCCTTTTTTTTGTGAAGATGTGAGTTGTAACAAAAGTTGATGACTGAAAAATAAATAAACAGAGCGAAATGGATTAGAGATGTGGTTCAAGTGGTAGAGCACCTGCTTTGCAAGTGTGAAGTTCAAACCCCAACCCCACAAAAACATTAATTAATTAACTGGTTAACCGGTTAGTTGATTAATTAATTAAAATGTCCCAATACACACCAATTAGTACCTACTAGAAAAACCTCTCTGGAACTACATCTCATTCTCTTCCATATCCTCAGGGCCTCACTTACCTGTATCGGCCTGGTCTTCTCCTGAGTCGGACAGCTGCCTCTGAAGATACCACCCACAACTGATCTCTTGTCCATGCTAGTCAGCACTTGATTCCTTTGCAGACTCAGGCCCATCTGCCATTTTGCACATCCAGTCAACTCTTAACTCATTCCAAATAACTCAGGTCACATGAGACTGCCCTTTTTACTTTGTTTTTTCAATATGATCTCACATTTTTGCCCAGGGCCAGCCTTGGAGAGAGATTCTTCTACCTATGCCTCCTTTATAGCTGGGGCTCATGACCAACCCTGCTTATTTATTAAGATAAGAGTCTCACCAACATTTTTGCAGTAGTCTTGAACTTCAATTCTCCCAATGTTTGCTTTCCAAGTACCTGGGATTACAGCTGTAACCACCATGCCCAGCCCTCGGGCTGAATCTTAAAGAATCCTTCTGAACATTTTCTAACATCAATTAACTTAACATTTTCAGTACCAACTATATATATATATATATATATATAATACTCATCTAAACTGATGACAAGCTTGAACATTAGAAATAACTAGGTCCACCAAAGTACAAGGATACAACATTATGATTATTAGCTGTTCATAATTCACAACAGAAAAAAAATACATTTTATGCTGGGTGCCAGTGGCTCATGCCTATAACCCTAGCTACTCAGGAGGCAAAGATCGGGAGGATTGAGGTTTGCAGCCAACCCAGGCAAACAGCTCGCAAGACCCTATCTCAAAAAACTGATCACAAAGAGGGCTGTCAGTGTTGCTCAAGTTGTAGAGCTCCTGAATAGTAAGCGTGAGGTCCTGAGTTTAAACCCCAATGCTGCCAAAAAAAGAGAGAAAAGAAAAAAGAAAAACATCTACAGTCCAATGGTAAAGGAAAGCACTCCCTTCAAAACCTGAATTTAGCTGGGCACTGGTGGCTGAAGCCAGCCCGGGAAAATAGTTTGAGAGACGCTATCTCACAAAAATAGGGCTGGGAGTGGCTCAAGATGAAGGACCTGAGTTCAAATCCCAGTACCACAAAAACAAAACAAAACAAACAAACAAACAAGCAAAAATCCTGAATTTAAGGGACAAGTTAAAATGTAGCAGTACCAGCACTTTAGGAGGGCTCTCTATGATGGGCTGGAATTCATACCACTGGTTCTCATCAGGATGACTCATTAAGTAAGTCTTAGAGTAAGAAGACACACTGGAGTGTCTGAACACAAATCTCCATCATCATTTTTTCTCTTTTTAAAAACAAAACAAAAATAGGATCTCACTATGTAGCCCAGGCTAGTCCATAACTCACAAACCTCCTCCCTCAGCTTCCTGTGCTGCAATTACAGGTGTGGTGGGGCTCCATCACCTACTGTTTAACTTAACCTTACTACTACCATGTTACCAAAACTCTGCAGCTGAAAGCGTAAATCAAAAACATAAGCTAGCTGCCTAGCTCAATGACAAAGTGACTGTCTAGAATGCACAAGACCCTCGGATGGACAGATAGATAGATATGTAAGCCTTACAGAGGACATAGTAATTACAAAACTACCTTCTACATCTTCAAGTATGCCTAATTAAAGTCAGACACTTAGCTGCACACATTTACTGAGTTTAACATTTAAAAGCAAAACAAATGTGCTTGTGAGGATTTAGGGCACCCCTAAAATTATTTTCAAAAGCCAAGGATACACTATATTATCTTAGCAATCCTGAGAAGCAAGCACACCAACACTGCCCAAAGGCTGGGGAACACTGTGATGTCCCCACCTCACCTGGCTCTGGGTCCACAAGCAAAACTGCACACTCCAGACCTATGGTGCCACCTGTCCATGTCTCACTTGCCTACGTCACCACTTTATTTAGTTCTCATTAGCAGCTACCAATCATCACAAGGTAGCTTGTTTTATTCTTTGCTATGTCAATCAGTAGATGAAAAGAAAAACTTTAGACACCAGTAATGAAGAAAAGGGAGCTATAATGAAGCCAGTGCAAACAAGAATCTTTTAATTATTTTTGAACAAAAAAAAATTATTTTTGTAAATTATACACACATTTACATTACTCACACATACATGTGTATCACACACAAACATATATTCACTTATATAGCACGTTACACACGAATATTACATATACACAAAAACATATTACACATGCACAAGTATCACAAATACATAAAACATACATTACATACATATATTTATTACACATATTTACATATAACACATACATACACTGACACACCTTTCGCATTCTTCTATATTTATAAAAGGGAGGGATGTCTTTAGACCACTGCAGGTGTATGTATGCATCTCATCCATATAATAATTTTGTGAGCTAACTTAGTCATGAACTGAAACAGACAGCAAGTTTTGCATACAAAGGCACAGACATGGCAGAGCCAAAGTGAAGAGTGCAAATCTCCTAGCTGACAATTCCAGCTCCTCCCACTGTGCTGCACTCCCCAACGGGACCCCTGTCCAAGCAAGAGCCATGCAATGATTTCATGAGTTAACAAAGGGCGTTCTTTTTCCCCGAGTTTCTCACAGAGGCCTAATGTTTCACTGTGGAGCATCCTGACTTCAGTATTTGTAGCTATACATGTACTTTCAAGTGTGTCCATGTTATAAAAAAATAAACGTCTAATAATAAAGTGGGATAATTCTAACTTTATCGCTAAATTCCTCTTTACCTCTACGCCCAAATTGAGAACCTGAGACAAAGCTGGCCCATTCTATCTCACTTACCTAACTCACCTGAAAATTATGGAAACCAAAGCATTTACCTAAAGACATATCATGAATTGTTTTTAATTATTTAAAATCCAACTACCAGGGAGAAGGGAGATGGGTTAAGAAAGAATAATATAGCCAGGTGCTGGTGGCTCACACCTGTAATCCTAGCTACTCAGGACGCAGAGATCAGGAGGATCATCGTTCAAAGCCAGCCCAGGCAAATAGTTCCTCGAGACCCAATTTGAAAAAGCCTATCACAAAAAAAAAGGGAGACTCAAGATGTAGGTGTAGGCACAGAGTTCAAACTCCAGTACCACTTAAAAAAAAAAAAAAAAAAAAAAAAAAAGAATACAGATGAGGTGAATTTTTATCAAAGTACATTATTAGCATGTATGTAAATATCACAATAAAACCTCTTTGTACAGTTACTTATGCTAATAAAAAAAATTAAAAATGAAGCCCAAATACTTAAGAAATTCACCACAAAACACCGTTAACCCCTTTCAAACTTAAACTTATGAACATTGACTGTTGAGCAAGGGACAGGTCTTAGCAGTTATCAAACTTATTTTATTAGCTCCATGAGTTAATTTTGTTTTCTTCCATTACACTATTTACTGGATGTGATTTACTGCTAATTTCTAATTAGCAGTGGGATACTGCCATCTTGCTTTGCTGACAGAATCACAAACTATCCTAAGTTGTGGTCTGTCCTTCTTATAAGGAAATAAGCAGGGGTCATAAGAAAAGCTGCTGGATTTGGGCCAAAGGAACTAAAGGAGTGTGCGCATCTCAAAAGAGCTTATGTGTCTATAGAAATTCAAGTCTCGATACAAACTGCTCAAGTTAAAAAATATTCCTCCTGGGGTTCCTTTACATCTTAAGTCATCAGAAAGAGATACTAAAATCTCTGAAAAGACGTTATCACGAAACCTGGGGCAGCTCATGCCTATCATCCTACTTACTGAGGAGGCAGAGATCAGGAGGATCCCGGTTCAAAGCCAGCCTGGGCAAATAGTTCGTGAGACCCTATCTTGAAAATATCCAACACAAAAAAGGGTTGGAGAAGTGGCTCAAACAGTACAGCACCTGCCTAACAAGCGTAAGGCCCTCAGTTCAAACCCCAGCACTGCCAAAAAGGTCATCACAAGGAAACATTAAAATCTTTGAACCACCCCCCAAAATGTCATTAAATTCTGTCCTGAAAGACATTCTAGAAAATTACAAAGCATGCCTCAAATCCTGTAGTACATGACCAATTGCCCTAAGTGCTATGCAACATAGCAATAATAGAAAAGCTGAGTTGCATTAAATGATACAAATAAGTCAAAGTAACTCAGAAAGCATCCCTTAGTTCTAGTGACAAAAGAAATGATGGTAGCTTACTTACATGAATCCTCACTGTTACTAATGGTCTGAATGTACTCTCAAGATCCAGAAGTCTGACAAAGGAATTATAAAGTCCACATGCCAGAAATGTAATGAGGTGAAATGATGGGAGGAGAGTGGGAGACAAACTTCTAGAGGGTTCAGGTGTGACCCCAGCACATAATCTCATTCCACTTTAATCTTTCACCTAAAACTTTTTTTTTTTTTGCAGTACTGGGATTTGAACTCGGGGCCTACACTTTAAGCCACTCAACTAGCCCATTTCTTTTTTTTCCACTTTTTTTTCTATTATTCATACATGCATACAATGTTTGGGTCATTTCTCCCCCCTTACCCTCTCTACCCCTCGCTATAAGGCAGAAACTATTTTGCCCTTATCTCTAATTTTATTGAAGAGAGAGTATAAGCAATAATAGGAAGGACCAAGGGTTTTTGCTAGTTGAGATAAAGATAGCTATACAGGGAGTTGACTTCCATTGCTTTCCTGTGCATGTGTGTTACCTTCTAAATTAATTCTTCTTGAATTAACGTTTTCTCTAGTTCCTGGTCCCTTTCTCCTATTGGCCTCAGTTGCTTTAAAGTATCTGCTTTAGTTTCTCTGCATTGAGAGCAACAAATGCTATCTAGTATTTTAGGAGTCTTACCTATCCTCACACCTCCCTTGTGTGCTCTCGCTTTATCATGTGATCAAAGTCCAATCCCCTTGTTGTGTTTGCCCCTTGATCTAATGTCTCAATATGAGGGAGAACATAGGATTTTTGGTCTTTTGGGCCAGGCTAACCTCACTCAGAATGATGTTCTCCAATTCCATCCACTTACCTGCGAATGATAACATTCCGTTCTTCTTCATGGCTGCATAAAATTCCATTGTGTATGAATACCACATTTTCTTAATCCATTCGTCAGTGGTGGGGCATCTTGGCTGTTTCCGTAACTTGGCTATTGTGAAGAGTGCTGCAATAAACAAGGGTGTGCAGGTGCCTCTGGAGTAACCTGTGTCACATTCTTTTGGGTATGTCCCCAAGAGTGGTATTGCTGGGTCATATGGTAGATCGATGTTTAGCTTTTTAAGAAGCCTCCAAATTTTTTCCCAGAGTGGTGGTACTAGTTTACATTCCCACTAGCAGTGTAAAAGGGTTCCTTTTCCCCAAATCCTTGCCAACACCTGTTGTTAGTTGTGTTGCTAATGATGGCTATTCTAACAGGGTGAGATGGAACCTTAGTGTGGTTTTAATTTGCATTTCCTTTATTGCTAGGGATGGTGAGCATTTTTCCATGTGTTTTTGGCCATTTGAATTTCTTCTTTTGAGGAAGTTCTGTTTAGTTCACTTGCCCATTTCTTTATTGGTTCATTAATTTTGGGAGAATTTAGTTTTTGAGTTCCCTATATATTCTGGTTACCAGTCCTTTGTCTGATGTGTAGCTGGCAAATATTTTCTCCCACTCTGTGGGTGTTTTCTTCAGTTTAGAGACCATTTCTTTTGTTGAGCAGAAGCTTTTTTCAACTAGCCCTTTTCTTGATGGGTTTTTTCAAGATAGGGTCTCTTGAAATATTTGCCCAGGCTGGCTTCGAACCTCGATCCTCTTGATCTCTGCCTACTAAGTAGCTAGGATTACAGGTGTGGGCCACCAGCACCCAGTTAAAACTTCTTTATAAAACTTCTTTAAAGACATGTCTCAATCTCCCATGCTCATGGATTGGTAGAATCAACATAGTAAAAATGTCTATACTCCCAAAAGTAATCTACATGTTTAATGCAATTCCCATCAAATTTCCAAAGACATTCATTAAAGAGATTGAAAAATCTACTGTTAAATTTATATGGAAACTCAAGTGGCCACGAATAGCCAAGGCAATACTCAGTCAAAAGAACAATGCTGGAGGTATCACGATATCTGACTTCAAACTATATTACAAAGCAATAACAATAAAAACAGCATGGTACTGGCACAAAAACAGACATGAAGACCAGTGGAACAGAATAGAGGACCCAGATATTAAGCCACGCAACTATAACCAACTTGTCTTTGACAAAGGCGCTAAAAATATACGATGGAGAAAAGACAGCCTCTTCAACAAAAACTGCTGGGAAAACTGGTTAGCAGTCTGCAAAAAACTGAAACTAGATCCATGTATATTACCTTATACCAATATTAACTCAAAATGGATCAAGGATCTTAATATCAGACCACAAACTCTAAAGTTGGTACAGGAAAGAGTAGGGAATACTCTGGAATTAATAGGTATAGGTAAGAACTTTCTCAATGGAACCCCAGCAGCACAGCAACTAAGAGATAACATAGATAAATGGGACTTCATAAAACTAAAAAGTTTCTGCTCAACAAAAGAAATGGTCTCTAAACTGAAGAGAACACCCACAGAGTGGGAGAAAATATTTGCCAGCTACACATCAGACAAAGGACTGATAACCAGAATATATAGGGAACTCAAAAAACTAAATTCTCCCAAAATTAATGAACCAATAAAGAAATGGGCAAGTGAACTAAACAGAACTTTCTCTAAAGAAGAAATTCAAATGGCAAAAAAACACATGGAAAAATGCCCACCATCCCTAGCAACATGGGAAATGCAAATTAAAACCACACTAAGATTCCACCTTACCCCTGTTAGAATAGCCATCATTAGCAACACCACCACCAACAGGTGTTGGCAAGGATTTGGGGAAAAGGAACCCTTTTACACTGCTGGTGGGAATGTAAACTAGTACCACCACTCTGGGAAAAAATTTGGAGGCTTCTTAAAAAGCTAAACATCGATCTACCATATGACCCAGCAATACCACTCTTGGGGATATACCCAAAAGAATGTGACACAGGTTACTCCAGAGGCACCTGCACACCCTTGTTTATTGCAGCACTCTTCACAA